AACCAGGTTTAATATAAAAGTGAAAGCAAGACAAAGTTCATTAGCAAGGTTCATTCTACTACTTACTAGATGGCTAAAGCACACAGAGAATAAGCAATCAAAAATCTAAAATCAATCAATTTACAACCAAAAGCAACCTAAAAATTATCTACGTGGAGGTTGGGAGGGCAAGGGTAGGAAGGGATAAGGATAAAAAGGAATAAGGAAGACCCTCCTTTCTATTCACAAGGTTCAGTGCAGATCCCCTTGCTAAACTGAGCCCAACTTCACCGACAGTTTAGGTCCAAAGGTTTTAACAGCACTTAATCGATAGCTTAAGTTAAACAATTTAACAAAGGATTCATATAGAATTTACTATAGCACAACAGTAACTCACAGGCCTAACTTACGAATCTAATGTACTTAGTAACTAGGACAGCAACGTTCCCAGTACATTTGCTATAGCATGGTCACACTTGCACGTACACAGACCTTAAGAGTCTGTACAAGGTATATACCTGTGAAGAATTCCCCTTGAATTCAGTGAAATACGTCAGATGCCTTTGCATCTTCTCAACAGGTGAAGGGTTGAGCCTCTAGTAGTCAGGGTTATCAACCCAGGCTCTGTTGTTGGCAATCCTCTGAGTACATCAAAAGTGAGAGTTTGCTGGCTCTGAGACCCCCCCACTCAGGAGATTGCTGTTTGCAGCTGCTGCAGTCCAGGAGAGCTCAAAGGGTCTCAGGACCACTGTTTATAGTGATGCCTAACATGGGAGAAAATACCTCTCTAGACAATGTTAGTATAGATAAGATAGAGAGCAGCTCTTTAATGAAGGCCTTCTGGTGCACAGAGTACGAAGTGCATGTCCGTGTCCAGGGGTTCTACAATTTTATAGTTCTAATCCATCCAATCCCAGAACTATCTGCCCCCCCAGCGCACCTCCCTGGAACTGAGTCAGAGGTCTCAAGACCCCTTTCTTCCTCATCTTCCTCCTCCTCCTCCTTCTGGCACGCATTATCTTTGGAGCTTCCCCAAGGTTCCAGGCCTCCAAGGTTGCTTTGGCTACAATGATATCTTGTTGTTCCTGTCTAGACTGCATATGTTCTTAAACAGGATGTGTTTGCTAGAGTCCTTCCTTGAAAAGAACTTTAAACAAGCTTTAAGAATTTAGAAAATTCTATATGAAGTGTGAGAATAGGGTTTGGTAAGTGTCAACTGCTATTCTAAAGTGTGAGAAACTACACAGCTATATTAAAATCTACAAAAAGCTAAAAATCTTAAAAATTCTAAGGCATCAATAGGGTCGCAAGAGAGTTGGTTTTAGTCATAATAATTTTTCATCCTGGCTGCAGTTTGAGTCAGTAACTTTCTTTGAAAGTTCGATAACAAAAATGTTATTCCACTTGGGTTGTTATTCAGAAAAGAAAAATAAGTTTGCAAGGCTGTTCATTAAAAAACAGGACCTCGTTAGACAGCACTAGATCCTTGGAACAGACAGTGTTTCTGATAAGCTCAAGAGAAATTTAGCCCAGATGTTGTTCATCAAGGCCAAGGCTTAAGGAGCATTTCTGTGATCAGTGTGGCCCGAGGGGGGATGCACCACCGCATTATAACTAGTATAGTGCGCTATTTTTGAAGCAATATTGAAGCAATTATATTAAAGCTAGAAAAAACAATCATTAAGTAGAGATTGATGCTACTCACCCATAACAACAACCATGTGCAAATCTCTTTCACTCAGCCTTGAGGAGTAACCTTAAGAGGTGTCCTCACCCAAGGGAGGAATCTCCACACATTCTCCAAAAAGAGATATGCCATTAAAAAGTGGGACTGGGCTTTTATACTATAAAGTGATTGACTGTCAGTTATATGTTTCTGGGCCAGCTGTGTCAGCTCAGAAGCTATCATTTGTTGGTTCCTTTATCTCAAGTGCTTTACTAGGTCTGCCACATCTTCACCTCAGTATCAGGATGTTTAACTTTGGGGTCGATGAGTCAGGCTGGTTTCAGCATTCTTCACCAAAAGCGGCACAACACCCCCTTCTCCATTCACCACTGATAGCTTTGCAAGTAGGGTATCATTCAAGTTGTTTTACCCCCACTCCAGGCAGAGCATCCTGCTACATCCCCATCTTATTTGTAATATCGCACTTAATACTCAAAATTGTAGTTACTATGGTAATTCAAAGGCAGTGGCTAACTGCCTTCCTTCTTCCTGTTGCTTTGGTACTTTAAAGTAGGTGTGGTAGGGTGTGAAGCCTCAGCCCAGTTTGGTGAAGGCACACCCATGACAGGGAAGTGCAATCTTGCCCTGGTCGGTGTACTGTTGGTGGTGGAGCAGAGACCTTCAGCTGCTCCTTGTGCTGGACTGATTGCTGTGTCTGGACACTGCCTGTAGATAGTGGGAGCTTACTAAGGGGAAATAAAATAGCTTTATTTTGAAAACTCTCTTTATATCAAACTACCAGTTGTGCTTTTAAGATGACTGTCTTGCATCTGAAATGGTTTATAACATGTCCATGTAGGCTTGATGGGGACTATCAAACTGAGGATGTGTTTCCATGGTTGTCTGAAGCATGTTCAAGTTTATACTGCTGCCAGGAAGAGGCTCTCACTTTCACTGATTTTCTGCTTCTGTTACCAAATTGTACTGCTCATGGGCTGCATGGTCAGCAAGATGAGGTTACTCTTTAAAAATCAGGTTCAAGTTTGGGCTCTGTTTCCACATCTGTGCTGCTTTATCCCCCCAGGAGTGTTTCAGATATTTTTATGCATTCCTTTTTCCTTAAAGTATCCTTTCATCCTGAAAAACAAACGTGGCTTAAATAGCAAATTGAGACCCAGTGGAGTTAACATATCTTAAATCACAGTGGGCTAATTCCAGGCAATCATATGTGAAGCTATTAGCTTGTCTTTCAGAGAGGTTAGCGCTCTCTGTTGTGTTCTCTCTTAAGGGTGTTTGTTTTTATGTTTTTCATTGCTTATTTTGGTAGGCTCAAATTGTGATGAGCTGACTGATACTTTATTTGTTGAGTACCCATTCCTTGTGAATGCTAGTGAGCAGTTGGGTATTGAAGACATCCTTGTCCATACAATCACAGCAGTGTGCTCAGTTTTCATCTGAGCATTATTGTGCACCGAATTCTGTGCTAGCCAGCTTGCACCAAAGCTGCTGCCCTGACAAGTTTTCTGCTGAGGCACATTCATACATTGGGGCTGCAGTAAAAACACTTTGCTGCTTGTTTGCACATCTCCTTCTGCCCAGGTTCACCACTTGTAGGTTGCCCTTAGTTCCCTAAATTTGCAGGTTTTACTTCCCAGTGTCACGGGATAGGAACCGGGCAGTTGACTGTGATTGTTTTGGCCAGTTGAGAGATCTCTTTTCAATTATCATAACTACTATAAACCATACTTGTCAATTAACCTTGTGTTAGATGTTGTAAAAACACAGGAGAAATAATAAATATCTTGTTTCAAATTAATTTTAATGGTAGAGGATGAATGAGAATAAAAGCTGACTGCCACAAATGGGATAGTACTCATGTGTGTGGGTGTGGTTTGAGTTTTCTTGTTGTTTTCTTTGTTGCCATACAACCAAGGTATGTGTAAAGCAGGGTAAAAGACAGTTTGGTAAATAATTTCTTTAAGCATGAGGGAGAACGTAAAATTATTGGCTTCAGAGGCTGTATTTAAAGGTAAGCATTGAAACAAAGTAATCAAATCCAATGACAAAGTGTCATTGAATTGGACATTCCTTTAATGCAGCATGCTGGGGGTCATGGGGAATAATTCACTATACATGCCCATTTCGATACAGTTTTCCGAGGTTTAAATACATTGTAACATCTGAAGCTTCCTTCCAAAGATCCACCCACTCCATTACATCATAAACCCATTCTTTGGTTTCATCTTGCTGTTCTTTCATGGAGCAAGACTGCCATCTAGCGTCCTTTTTCTGGCAGGAATGTGAGGAGGGGGCTCGAAAGGGGGTTTCTGACTTCCTCATCACCGAAGTCTTCCTCATGTCCTTTGAGTGACCTGGCCCACGTTGGCAGTTTCCCTAGCGTGTGTGATTAATTTTGCTGACCTCTAGCCTCCTATCTAATTGTTCTAGCTATCAGTAAGACACTTACATTCATCACTAGTTAAAGATAACCTGAGGTTCTTCTCTACTTAATTCTTTATTGAATTTGCTTCTTAGCAAAAAAATTTCTATCGACTAAGCTTTCTGGAGTGTGCAAGCCTTCTTGAGTTAATTTCCTCCATGTGCACCACTCAGCGTTTTTCAATTAGTTCAAGTTTTTTATCTTCATTTACTGACACTAAACTAATCAAAATGGTAAAGTCCAGGAAAACATAAATTCCTTAGTTGATTAGGATACAGCTCCTTACAAAGGTCAGAGACCGCTAAATACCTAAACTAGTTGTGGTAGAGGTATAGTTGTCTAATTCAGGATCATAATTTCTCTTATAAATAAGAGGTAAGAAGTAGAGTGGGCATTGACCATGACCTCATGTATATATGCAGGAAAGCAGTTTAATGATAGGCAAGAAGGGAACGACCTAGTTTATGAATGTGACTTCTGTGTTAGTATTCTGAGTGGGTATGAGAGTGGTTAAATTCCAGGCATCAAAACAAGACAGCAGGTATTAAAGAAATTTAAGGAGTGATACAACTGGAGCTGGAATTTCAGGAGAGTAGCAGATAGAAAAGTCTATATGTTAAATAACTGGGAAAACCTGTGAGATTTTGATGTTGTCTGGAAGTACAGATCTCGACAGATCCCAGTCAGCTGACAAAAATGCTTTTAATCTACTTTATTTCCCCCTTTACTGTAAAGATTTCAATAAATTCAATAATAGTGTATTAAAGCTGCTTTCTCAGGAGTCTCTGTATAGAGTTTGTGGTAAAGGCAGGAAGAGTTCAAGCTACTACATTTGTATATTATATGGGTATCAAATCAGTATCCTGTCTTAACTCTTTTTTTCCTTTCAGATTTCCTATTTTGTACATACATTGTTTTGTATATACTGTATATGATGACTTCGGTGAGCAGTGAACGTACCCGGGGCACTCGGGAAAAAATGCAAATTTCAACCACACAGCCAACGCAACCACAGAAACAAGTAGTACAGGTATGTGCTACTATATAATCTTCTTTGAGTTGAAAGTGAGCATGCAATGATATGCTTTTCTTCTGTAAGTCAGTAAAAACTGAGAAAAGATGAGGAGGATATCACGGTCTAATTTGGAAGAGTATGTTTGATATCTTGCTTTAATTGCTTAGTTATCCAGCTCAGCATTAAGTTGTCCCTTTATTCCTGTCTCCAGAGGAGCTTTGTGTTCTTCAGCAACGTTTATCGCAAGTGAGGAATTCTATGCCTGTCCCCGTCAGGATTTCTGTCCTGTGACCTTAGTGTCTTTAGAGCTCAGCTCTTTCATATGCCAGCTTAATGATGCTAAAAGATTTCTGGTCAATTAAGGAATTTGGGTGGGTGGGAAAAGTTTTGTTAGATGCATGTTGTGTTCTACAGCATGATGCAGCATATTTGCAAGTCACAAAATCCTAAACTTCTTGTGCAGTGCCTTCACAAAGTGAAATGAAGATGGGTTTTCACTAGCAGACTGAAATTATTTTGAGTATCTGCAGGATTGAAATTAAGCTCTTACCCCAATGTCTTGGTTCTCAGCAGCTGAGTAAAGTTGTGTGCTTGCCTGTGTTACAGAGTGCAAAATATCTCAGCTCCTGGCAACTCATTATTCTCGTCAGGTACTTCTCAAATTTATATTCAATTCACACAGAATCTCAGAATATGCTGAGTTGGAAGGGACCCACAAGGATCACTGAGTCCAACTCTTGGGCCTGTACAGGATCATTCCCAAGAGTCACACAGTGTGCCTGAGAGCATTGTCCAAATGCTCCTTGAGTTCTGGCAGACTTTGGGCTGTGACCACTTCCCTGGGGAGCCTGTTCCAGTGCCCAACCACCTTCTGGGGGAAGAACCTTTTTCTAATATCCAACCTAAACCTCTCCTGACACAACTTCAGGCCATTCCCTTGGGTCCTGTCCCTGGTCACCACAGAGAAGAGATTAGTGCCTGCCCCCCTCTTCCCCTCATGAGGAAGTTGTAGACTGTGATGAGGTCTCCCCTCAAGAATTGCCCCAGTTCTCAATCTTGAGGTGCTCCCCTGGGAAATTGTCTTTTTGTTTTCTAGACTGATCTTTAACACTGAGGGGCTCTTATTTTGTACAATATTATGTGACCTCAAGCCCTTATCTCCTTGTGTTACAATGCTTTGCATAGTGGTGATTCATGCTAATGTGTGGCTTTAGAAAGTGACTTTCAATAGATGAAGTTGAATTTGTTTTTGTTTTATAACAAGTAAATCTGCAGGAGGTATAAGGAGCAGGTTGACAGAAGTGACGGGTTCCCCTTTTTTGATGTTTGCAAGACAGCAGTGGAGTACCCAGTTTTGGGTTCCCTGGCACAAGGCAGACATTGGCAAATGGGACCAAGTCCAGTGAGGAGCTGTGAAGATGGTTGAGAGGCTGGAGCACAGGATGAATGAGTGGTGGCTGAGGGAACTGGATTTGTTCATCCCTAAGAAGGCAAGACCAGGTTGTGTCTTCTATTCAGATACCTCATGAAAGGGTATAGAAAAGGTTAAACCAGGTGAAACCAGCCTCAGAGACAACTGCACAAGTTGAAACACTGGAAATTCCGGCTGTTAAAAGGAAAACATTGTTTACCATGAACATGATCATGGATTAGAGAGGTTGTGGAATCTCTGTCTGGCCCCAAACAGCTCCTCTGATGGGACATGCTCTCAGTGGGAGGTTGCACTGAGTATCACTAGGGAAACTAGTCAACCGATGTGATTTATTGATTTTAAGCATTGTCTTACAGACCTTTTTCTGTGTTTTGTCCACTTATTCTACCTCTAGCATAGTAGATATTGGTTTGGTCATTTCAGTGGAAAAGATGGTTATTTGATATACAGCAGTTATGTTTTAGTGCACCATGTAGTTTTATTGTTAAGATATCAGATGGACCTCCCTCTTTATGCTTTACAGATTAACAAAACCATGGGATTTTACTGTTCAATTACCACTGATTCATTTTTTGAATGTAGAATGATATTGCTTTCTCAAATGGAGATTTCATTGTCATAATCACATTGATAATAATTTAATTTTTTTAAGAAATTACATCACAGTTCTTTTTCATTGTTTCTGGATAATAAACATACCATGTTATTATAAGATCTGGGCCTATTACTGTCACTTTGTGTTTTGCACACTTCTGTTTTCTGGTAGTTCGAAGTTGTTAAAAATTTCCTTCACTCTGGTATGCTGCAAAGATAATCTATCTTGTAAGCTCGAGTAAAGTTTTAGCTGTCTTAAAATGCTACCATTTTCTTAGTTACAATTAAAGCTTAATTATACTCTTTTATAGGATACTAGGATGTCACTTGTAACAATGGTGACTTAAAACCGAAGAAGAATCACTGGAAAAAAATGCAAACAAATTTTTGTGACACTGATTTGGTGTTTGTGTAGTAAACACATCTTGTGGGGTTTTGTTGTTTTTTTTCTTCTGAATCTTCAGTTCTATCTGTGTGCAATCCACTGGCATGGTTTCCTGTTTCTGGTCAAATATCCTGTCATGTCTCTACAGAAATTACATTAAATGTTTTTATTCTGGATATCTTTAAAGGAAATCTCTTCACTAACTAAAAAGTTGCTGTGGGCATGAGGAGGCTGAAGTCAGAGCAAGAAGATGGATTAAGAGGATTTAATTTCTGAAACCAGTAGACCTTTTATTTTTGCTCTCTGCTGGAGGCTTGCACCAGGTGCTCAGGGAACTCCAGAGCAGACTCACCTCTGTGTTACCGACTGACATAGGAAGCTGTCAGAATGGCACTTTGAAAATGTGAAGTAATACAGAGTATTTAACTAATTGTCTTGGAACATTGAGGAAAGCAAGTATCTCCCTCAAGGAACTGGGACAGCTGCAGTAACTTCTAAGAAAATAAGTAACTGATGTCATATGGTGGAAGAATTTTTTTAGACTCTTCTCAGGATTTACACTTGGAGACCTCCTCTAGAGCTTGCATTTGTGGTAAACTCCAAAAGCGAAGCAGTTTGAAACTGATGAAGTCTGAACTCATGAGTCACAGAATTTTATGTGTGTATCCTGTCAAGTGAGACTGCCCAGGATGAATCCTTTCTGTCAAGAATTTCAGGAGTAGATGTGGTCCCCTTCTCAATAATGAAGTCTTCTGCAGCACATCAACTCACATGTTGGGTCCTGGCTCTCTTCAGTATCAGCCTTCTCTAGCATGAGATAGTAGCCTCTTCTATTTGAGCAGAAATCAAATGAGGTCCAGGTTCATGTAGCATACTATTATCTTTGGTATTTTCATGGGAGTGCAGTTCAAGTAGGCTGCAGATGCTGCACTATGATGAGTGGCCTGTATGATGTGACATTAGTGCTTTCGAATTTTTTTCTTCTGGGGCAGCCATAGCCTATTTGGGTTTATGGCTCTTTACTACATCCATCCATTTTAGTATTTCAGCTGTTGGAGAAGTTGCCAGCATGGATTTGTTGTCCAGAAACATCACAGAAACACCAAATATTTCATCAATAGCAAGATTCTTTAGCAGTTTTCAGAGACTGGTATTCAGTTATAAAGAAAATAAGTGCAGCCATTCATGAGCAGATCTTGAGGTTACGATAAAACTCTATCTCTGCAGTGGTAGATACTAAATAAAAGTAATATCAAAGTGTAAGTTTCTGTGGTAAATTCTATTTCATTATGTGGTGACCTTTAACTGTGGTTCCAATACATTGGAACATGTTGAAATTACTTCTGTTTTAGCTAACTTTATAACTACAAAATGGGCATAGAGGAGATATTAATCCCTTCCCTGTAGCACCTCTGTGCTCGTTGTGTATGTTCTTTTTGAGAATCTTGAGAGAAAAAAAAAAATAAAGGGACACTCTCTAGTGACCAGTGACAGGATGTGAGGGAATGACCTGAAGTTGTGTCAGGGGAGGTTTAGGTTGGGTATTAGAAAAAGGTTCTTCCCCCAGAGGGTGGTTGGGCCCTGAAACAGGCTCCCCAGGGCAGTGGGCACATCCCCAAGCTTGTCTAAATTCAAGAAGTGTTTAGACAACGCTATCAGGCACATGGTGGGATTGTTGGGGTCTCCTGTGCAGGGCCAGGAGTTGGACTTTGATGATTCTCATGCATCCCTTCACACTCAGAATACTCTGTGATTCTGTGATAACTAGGAGATACTTTTAAAAAATATAGTTTACTTTTGTGAACTTTATTGGATGTTTTTGTTTTTCAGGCAACAGCAGAACAGATTCGCCTTGCTCAGATGATCTATGATAAGAATGATGCAGATTTTGAAGATAAAGTGAAACAAGTATGTTTCTTATGGTACAGAGTTTTTATGCCCTGCAACAAAATTGACTTGCGTTTTGGAGCTAGAGCATCTGTTTCTGATTTAGATGAAACTTTCTTCAAAAGGACAGAAGTTTAACTAGATAAAGGTGCTCTTATTGCACTGTGTTTTCAAGAATTTGTGTGGCAATATAGCTATGACTATATAATTATACTGATGTATTTTCCTTTGGTGGTAAGCCAAAACTCATCTGTGCTAATCTCTTCCAGACTATCTCTTTAGTATGGTCCTGATGGTTAATGATAGAATAGAGTGTGCATTCAGCTTGTCCACGTGTACATGCACATAGGAAAAATGTCACCTTTGTAAACTGAGTTTGCCGATATATTGTCTGTTTTTCAGGAAAAGTAAAAATCATAGAATCATAGTTTAAAGGTAAATTTAGGTATTATTTAAAAAAAAACCAACTGACCTCCCAGATGTGTGTATGCATTAAAATGATAAATCACACTGTGAAAATGAAATCTCACACCATTTCCTCTACCGTGATGAGTTTTCTGAGTGTCGATGCTCAAACTTCCTTTACCCAGTTATGGTTGAGACCATTAATTCAAGCAGTATTGAGAATCTGTGTCCCTGTTCTTCTGTGGATATCAGTGATTTTGTCCTAGTGAACACATCACCGCTCACAAGGAACTGAGGAGTACACCCAGAAGGAGAATTATCTTGAATGCATTCATGCAGCAGACAAGCAAATGTCTTTCTTTACTTTTTCTTTGTAAAACCTCCTCTGAAGCGTTAAGTACTTTTTGTTGTTATAAACTTGTTTTGTTGATGTGCCAGAAGTGAAGTCCTGTACTTCCTGAAGCCAAATTACCCTCATCAACGGTGCCTGTAGCTGTGCTGGTGGGAAGGATAAGATTTAAGTTCTGCATAGGAAATATCTAAGCATAATGTTAAAGGGAAAAAAAATGTGAAAGAGTGCTTTAATTTGTGTTTACCTTTATTTAGTATTTTATTTTGCTCTGACACAGTAGCTATGCACTTTTTTGGAATCTGTGTTGGTACTAACTCTTATTTTCTTATGAAGATAATTTGGATATTTTAATATATCTGACTCTTACTGCCAGCTTATGGAAGTGACGGGGAAAACCCAGGATGAGTGCATAGTGGCACTACATGATTGTAATGAGGACATGAACAGAGCAATTAACATATTGCTGGAAGGAATTTCAGACACGGTAAGGTTTTACTTTCCTATTAAACCATTCTTTCTGTTTCTACTTCTTAGAAGTGATTGAGAAAGTCATATTTTGGAAGCTTTCAATTTTCATGTCTCCAAATTCTTTTGAAGGAAATGGAGACCAGGACAGCTTCTTGAATACCTTAGAGTAGGCTGAACCTTGAAAACATTGAGGATGTTTAGCTGGTCTCTTACAGAATCTTTTGGCTTTCATTTACATGCAACAATTTTAACTGCAGCAGAAATCATTGCTGTTTCAGACACAGGCCTGTTTTTTGCTGCAATGTTTGTAGAATCTCACAACCATGAGACCTAAGTGTTTGCCTCAAAAGACAATCTTTATAAACCTAAAGGGCAGGCAGATATTTTAAGTTGTGCAACTTCTATAGGTGTGCATTGCCAGTATTGAAGTTGGAGGAGGTCTCCACATCTGAAAGTTGCATTGACAATGCTACTAATGGCAGAAGAGGATACAAGTATCCATTCACTGTTGCTCATTTGCATGACTTCATTGAAAACCAGAAAGAGGAGACTAAACAATGTGTATATACCAACAAATAATGTCCCTTAGAATGTTGCACTGAGCAATTTTCTATCCCAAGAGGTACCAGGAAAATGTCTTTCTGCAGTTGAAGCTTTTGCTGGAGGGATTTCTTACAGTTTGTCCAAGACAGTACACTAGATTCCATCTCATCTAAATTGGGAAAGAAACCTGGACTCCCTTTCTTAATGTTGAATATTCAGTAGTTCCTGTGATTTGTCAGAATGTGTAGTCTGTCTTATTGTTAATGAGGAAACCCACCCCCACACACCTTAAATCTAGAACACATAGTGTTCTGACTGAGGGGACTTTCTTTCTCTTTTCATTTATCAGAGGTGAGGTCATCTAAAACACAGAAATATATAATACTGAGCAAACTGGCAAGTTGAGAATAGAAGGGAGCATCTCGATTAAATTTGTGTTGGTAATGTGATGGTTTTGTGTTCTCTTGTACTTCTTGTATTTGCCATTTTCTAGTTAAAATAATTTCCTGATTGATAGAGAGTTTTAAATGCTTTCTTCAGCAAATTTTTTCTAAATGATCATGACAGGGAAGAAACTTTCTGAACTCCTCAATTAGAAGGAACATATCCATATGTTCTGCTCTTTTGACAAGTCCCTCTGAACTCACTGCACTCTGTAGATAAAATGCAACTCAGACAAATACAGAGAACTTGAAAGGCTCAAGAAGGAAGGAGTATTAATTAGAAGGGGTCCACATCAGAGCGTGAATAAATTTATTCTTCTTTATGCAAATTTGTGGGCCTTCAACTTGAAGACCATTATACTCCAGAACATTTTAACTGTGGATTTGATATAAGGTTGGAAGCAGAGGTGATACTAGTTCTGAATGCAGATTCCCAAATCTCTTTTTCTAATTTCACTCTGCTTTAATATTCTAGAAGGTTTTTTTACCTCATTTGGAAGAAAGCGTGTCTATCCAAATCAAGGAATTAAAAGAACAAGGAGTGGTAGCTATAATGTCTATTTATAATTTCTTTGGTACTCTGCCAGTTTTGTTGTTTTTTTTATTTAATACTATGATCTTTAAGGCTTTATGCTGTGTGACTGTTAGTCTTTGTGAAGACTTGCAACAGTTGTGTCAGTCTGGCTTTGGAGAGACAGAGACTTGTGGATGAGAATAGAGTAGGGCATGTTTCTTTGCCCAAGACTTCTATTCATTTAACTTCCTACAGGCATAAGATCCATTTTATGCCTGACCATGTGTTACTTCCTAAACCTTTCAAGATACAACAAAGGGGACCTTTCAGATTATTCTTCTTTCCATCTAAGATCAGGCCAGCAAGAAGGCTTCTGTTATATATTTTTGAAGGTCAGGCCCACAGTTGTCATTTGGGTTGCCTCAGGCATCCTTAACTGAAATTGTAATCAGTTAACTCCCTTACAAAAAGAGATGGCTTCAATAGTCTGTGATGGATTTCCATGCCCAAAGGTAGCACCATACTGTATCTCAAAGGACATGTCCAACTTTTTGAGGCTTTCCTCAAAATTATATTTTGGGAAAGCATGGATCCAATGCTTTCATAGACATCCTTTTACTGATCCTTCCCAAGTCATGTAAAACCTTACTAAGGAGAGGTTGCTTCCTCTTAAGTTTTGCAGACTCATCCAGTTTTTGGTATTTCTTAAAATGGTTGAAGATCTTTTGGCATCATGCCCATCAGTGAAATAGTAGTGCATTCTGAACTATATAACTTGGTTCTTCAGTTGTCAGTACAGGTATTTGTAGTGGTTTGACCTTGGCTGAACACCATGTATCCACTGGACCTGTGCCCACTTCCCTCCAAAGGGAAGGGGAGGAGGGAATGGGGGAAAGAAGGGAAGGAAAAAAACCCTACAGAACCGAAAATGCCAAGAAAAATTGCTTTATATTTACATAGAGAGGAAAAAAGAAAATTATAAACACTATACACAGAGAAGAATTAACAACAGAAACTACTTTCCCACAACGAATGCTCTCATGCTCTGAAGAGACAACCCGGCTACACTGCACAGCTACCCGGAAGAGAAGGAAGGACTTGCTTCCTTCCTGTCTCTTTTATATCTAGGCTGACATAACATGGTATGGAATATCTTATTGGTAAAATATGCATCAGGTGATCTATCCTAGTTCTGTTTCCCTCTAAGGGAGGGTAACAAACCCATTACAGTATTTTTTTTTTCTCCTGTGAAATTTCTAAAACTTTAGAAGTGTTTTAGTGCATAATACGGTTACATAGTTACTGGGGAAACAGTTTTCTGCTTCACAAATAAGTGGTGTTGCTCAAATATATAGTTTTGTACTTCTAATCTGTACTGTCTGCACTTCACTTTGACCCTGAGATTAGGTCAGTTGGTTAGAGCATGGTGGTAATAATGCCAAGGTTGTGGGTTCAATCCGTGTATGGGCCATTCATTTAAGAGTTGGACTTGATGGTCCTTGTGAGTCCCTTCGAATTCAGGATATTCTGTGATTCTCTGAGATAGGACAGGACCTGAAAGTATTGATAGCCAATTTTTTTTTTGTTGGTTGCAGGTGCCTGTCAGAGGTTATGGTTTTATGTAGTGCTTCACAGTTGATGCCACCTCATTTGTGTATGCAAATTTACCACTCAAATACCTTACCTAGACTATAAACTCCTAGACATGGGGACATATACATAAACCTATCTGCCATCTTAATGGTTTGCAAATAATACCTTTCTTCTTTCCTTTGCATCTAATGGCTCAATAGACTAACCACGCAGTTGCATAATATATGAGTTGCTGTGCTATTCTTGGAGAGTGTTTTAGTTGTTTAATTTTCAACTTCTATAGAGCTGATATGATCCCTGAATTTCTTTTAAAGATGGAGTTTAATATTAAAGCTAAAGTTCCAGTCTTCCCAAGTTATTGTTTCGTCATTCTATCTCTTGGTACTTGAATTCTAGTACATCTGGATAATGGTTACCCCCCAGCCATGTACTTATTCTCAGCAGTCTCTTGTTCAATGATGCTTGTAAGCATTTTTTCACTTCCTTTGGAGAAAAGGATAGATCTGTACATGCTCCCTTGCTAGATTTATGGAGGTAGTTGAGAGGGAAACTGTTGCTGGCTTTGCAGATTTTCTGTGTTGTGGTGGTATCTAGGCTTCCTTGAACTAGCAAAAGGCCATTATAGCTGGAAATATTTGGGATTCTCACATTCCATAAGAAAATCCAACTTTTAAAACTTGGTTTTTCATCTCTTTCCAAAAATACAGCTTATGTTTCTATTTGTGTGAGTGTAGTTTGCAATTTTTACATATGTTATGCAAATATCTGTTTTTTTCCCATGAGCTATAGGGGTGTGAGGTAGAAGTATGCATTGAGAGCTGTCTCTTCCTTTTTGATTTTTGTATCTCCTTCTATCCAAATAGACTTCTTGGGAGACTGTAGGGGGAAAGAAGAAAAACCTTGGAAAGGAAGGTTTGGAAAACAAAGAGAACAGAGAGAAACGAGGGGACAGAGAAATGAGCCGAGGATGGGGAAGTTCCAACAGACGGGGAAGAGGAGGCAGCCGTGGCCGAGAGTGTACGTACAGGGGTTCATTTTTAAATATTCAGAAACTTTTCTTTCAGTTGAAACTTGCTAAGGAACAAATGCTTAATGGAGTAGTCTGTCCAAGCTATAGCTCAGCACTGAAAGGGATCATAACCTGTTTATGCAACAGGCATGCTCGATGTGTCAATGTGACTTGGTTTTGGGATGGTCTGTGTTTATTCAGAGACACTCAATTTAAATTTCTGTCCTTTTTTGATTGATCTTGTAGAAATTGCTGTTCTTTTTCTAAGTTTTATAATTGACTCTTTGTAAGACTGCTTGAAAAGCAAATATGTTGCTGCCCAGCTGATACACTTTTTTTCTTTTAATGAAAAAATTATCCAGCTTTGATTTCATCTCCTTTTATGAGTGGGAGAACCTGAAGATGTTCTCATTTTTTTATAAGGGGAATGAAAAGACTGGGATCATTATTGCTCTCTAGCATATGTTAGTCATAAGCCAACCAAAGGTGAGTTTCTACACACAGAAAGTTCTTTGTGGGTTGAAACATTAAAATTTTTTCTACAGCTTATACAGGTGCAATAATACATTGTACAAAAGCAAACTGATGTTTCCAAGGTAGGTAGCATCACATTAGATCACCATTGGTTGCACATTGCTTTTTTTGATTAAGTTTTATCAGCAGTATCAAAGCTACATACATTGTCTGTAAGGGCCATACACAACACTGATAGATGAGCAGAGAAACCAGAATGAAAAAAAATGTGTTTAGCTTTTCACTTAAAAGCAGGAAAAATATTTACAATATTAGCCAATTCCTCTAATTAATTATTGGAATATCTTCAAGTATTGTGCCAGTGAAGACATTGTGAATCTTTGTAGAATAATGACAAAGATAGGAAAAAATAGTAATAAAACTTGCAGCTATGCATAGAAAAATTGAAATCAGATCCATCAAAATTAAACTGAGGGGCAAAATTTTTTCCAGAGCCAGATGTTGCTTGTCTCTTTTGTAAACTGGAATTAAAGGTGTTTTCCAGTTAATTTCCAAATCTTGATATCTCTTCCCAGTCCAGGCATTAATGGTTTTGTTGCTGCCATTAGGAGAAGTTGAGCAGTGCAAAATTTCACAAGTGTTTTAAGTGGCCAGTCTTTTTTTTCCATCAAAGAGCCAGCCATCTTTTGGAGTACTTCCTCAGGAGTTTTCCATTAAATAGTTAAGGTGCAGTACTTTTCTAATGCCTCATCTTCATTCTGTTGTTATCCCTCTGATTTAAATACAGAGGAGAGTTCTTTTGAGTTTCCCTGGTTGTACAGGGATGTGGTATTGGCAGACAGAAGAGTTGGTGTTCTTGGTTATTCTTTCACTGTTGCCACTCAGCCTGTTATTGAGGAAGCATAGTATGAGGCAGCCTTATTTCCTACCTCATTAGAGAGGTGAGGCCATAATTAATAGTGTAGGCTCCAAAACACTGCCTTTCTCCCCTCCAAAAACCCAACACAAATGAAGTGTGTCTACTGAGGGGCATTTCCTTCTTTTTAGATATTTTGCTTCCTGTAAATACCAGGCAGTGGAAGGATTTAGGAGAATTTATTTCCAAAGTCGAGAACACTTAACATCTCGGTACAAAACTGCACTGGGTCTAAGACACACCCCTTGTTCCTCTTGGGCTTTTATTGTCCCCGGTGTCCCCTGCCATGGGGTCTTCAGACGTGTGCAAGAACTCATTTTCTCTGGTACCCAAGGAGTCAGCTCCTCTGAAATATGGGAGGAGAAATCATCTAAAACTATCTCTAGGTGTCTCAGTTTAATGAGACACAAGTGTTTTGCTGAGGATGAGTTATGAGGAAGACCCAAACTCCTCCCTCTAAGCACTTGTAAATACGAAATTAAGAGGCTCCATTTGAGAAAGTGTGGAAAATGGAAAAAATAACAGCTCTTTTTTAAAGGATATATATGTATTGGCAGAACAATGAAAGAACACAAATAAAACAACCAAACAATAATCCTATACCCAAAAATAATCCCCTTCAAAAAAAAAACAAACAAAAAAAGGTAAACAGTTCAGTTAGTGCCCTTTGGTGCAATTCTAACCACAGTCAGCAGGGGACAGTGTTGGATCACTGGAGATGCAGATCCTGCAGTGCTTTGTACTGGCCAGCAGGGGGCGCTGTTGGAGCCCCTGGGTGTGCTGGCAAAGCTGAAAATGGAGGTCTTCCCTCCTCCTCACTGGGAAAGGGGAAAAAGGAGGGAAAGAAAAAAAAGTTCTTCCCAACAGGAACTCACTCTTTCTCTACCTGGACCATGTGGCTTCTCCTTTCCTTTGATGTGCACGAGAACCTCTGCCAAAAAACATGGGAATGGAGGAGGGTAAGAAGGCGATCTCCCTCCCGAACAGTTCCTCTCTGATGAAAATCCAAACAGGTTCTGGGCTGGGTAGAAAAAACAAGTCGCAGGCAAACCGGGGCCAGGAGAGGAAAAAAAACCAAAACAAAACCTGCTGGGCAGCCAGGCTGAGAACAAAGCCACCTCCGAGCTCCTGCCACCCAGACCTTGTCCCAACTCAGGCAACAAGAAGTTTCCCAGGAGAGGAGAAAAAAAGACAACTCCTCACCCCTCCCATCAGACTCTTGAGGGCCATCAACTTGGGATGTGACTCTGCTAGCCACTTCTTTTGTGTTAGTCCATTGCCCAAGGCACAGCCAACTTGCCCATTCAACATCCCTTTCACACAGTGGGCAGGGGGAAGGCAAAATTGCTGCTTAGTTTCCCAGAACAAGCAAAACCATGACAACTGGGAAAGATGCCTCTTTCCAGGCAGGGAAAGCTTTCTTAAGCGAAATAAACCATCTCCTCGTAATAACTCTTCTGGAAGGATCTTCTACATTTACACTTCCTAATTGTCTAGTGCAAAGTAAACATAACTTGCTTGTAGCTAGGCTCCAAAGAAGACGGGTGACTGAGATGTATTAACCAGCCTACTTTAAAATCTTGCCTCTTCTTTTGAGGTTCAGGTTAAGCAGATGGCTATACTGTCTCATGTATGAGTCTCTTAAGCTGTCCTCTCTCCACAGTTAGAGCTGAAGAGAATGGAGTGGGCAACAATCAAGGAGACAGGCCTTCAGACCGTGGGAAACTTGGCCATGTGAGAGGTGAGATGGTATCACTGGTGCAGGACTAGCACCAATGATTTCATATCCTGAAATGGAACTCTCCTATTTATTTCTTTAAACACTTCTTTTTAAGCATTTGTTGGATATCCTTTGATTCCATAAGCATTTCAGCCACCTTTAATTTAGGTACATTCCTCTCCCTTACCCCTTTTCATGTTTTGGTCTCAGAACAACTTAAAAGAATTGACACAGATCATTTTTATGGTAATTTCCTGTGTAGCAGTCTGGTGTGCTCTGGCTATGGAGAGCTGTTTTCCCAGATCAACTCATTCCAGCCTCCTGAGAGTAGGAGTGTGCTGGGCTCTGCAGGATATTCCCTGGCTGCAGGAGAGTATAAGATTCCATCTGTAGAGCTCTCAGGAAAGGATTTGATGTGTACTTGTGCTGTTTCTTTGGGGTGAATCTGGTTGTCAGGCTTGCCTTCTGTTTTCGGTAGCCAATCAAAGTACAAGCCCCCTTAAAGGCTTTTTGGTGACAGAAGGAATTTGGTATAGAGGATTTGATGAGAAGAACTGTGGAGAAAAAATACTACAGAGTCTTAGGTACAACTCTGATCCTATCCTATAGAAGAGGTAGGAAAGGTATTGATAATGAATTTGATGTGGAATCAAGGGATGTGTAGTTGGTTTGGATTTTCATGAGTTGGAGGCTTGTTTCTTCTTAGAGCAAGAGTAACAGGTACAGTGCAGATTGTGTGGGGAAGTGGGTATTAAATGAGTTAAATTGATAAAGTGCATAGCAGAGCTAATGTACTTAAGCAATGTCTGATTGGTGAAAAACTCTGCCTTCAAAGGGCTCTCTTCTTTGGAATATCCAGCAATGAAGCATTCAAAGACAGGCACATACAACTCCATTGATCCAGATCTGCATCTTGAAAGATGCAAAGACATGTAGCTTCCAAAGGGTTGCAAGAATGACTCGGTTGTGTTTGTGAATCAGCAAATACCAAATGACATGAGCAGAGAAGTAGCCTTGTGGGGAGGGTGTGGTACAGTTCACAGCTACAATTTTTGGTATGTTAACACTGTTGATGGAATGTAAATATTTCAGTTATTTGTTTTATTAAATAATGCTTTATACTGAAATTATAAAGGTAGGACTTCTTAAAATTGCTGGGTGAAAGTTATAGGTTAATTTCAAATGCAGTCTGTTTTTTTTGCTTTTTAACCTTATGAACAATACACTGTTGCTCTCTAGATGAATATCATATGTCTTAAGACAAAACACTGACCTATCTGACTGAAGAATCACAGAATACGCTGAGTTGGAAGGGACTCACCAAGGATCGAGTCCAACTCTTAAATGAATGGCCCATAGGGGGATCAAACCCACAACCTTGGTGTTATTAGCACCATGTGCGTAATATTACTATATCTCTCTACCAAGTATTTTAGACCATACATTAATGTGAGAAAAGTATCTTAATGAAGTGTTTTCAACTGTCTGTGATGAACTGGTTGACTTCAGTATCCCTATATTACAAGTGTGTGTATTCTGTGGCAGGAAATATCTAATTACATTTTATAATGCAAACCTGTCTAGTTTTTTGACCAGGACAGAGTTAACTTTTTGCAGTAGCTGTGAGGGGGTGGAACCTAGAGGTGTGTGGGTGTGGCTAGGAGGTTATTCTATACCACCTATACACTGAGGGGAGTGGGTGCTGAAGTAAGGGACTCTAGCTTCTGGGAAGGAGGGGGCGAAAAAGGTGATGGAGAGTCCCCCCTGCCGTTTTGTTCATTGCAGGTATCACAATGTGCCAAGTCATTCAGTGAGCATTTTTTTTGCATGTAAATCACTCTCTTTTTAGACACTTTTGTTATTAATAATGTTACTGTTACTGCTGATTTTCTTATCTCAGTGCTGTTTCCAGTAAATTGTTTTATCTCAACCAGTAATCTCTGCCTTTTGTACCTCCCACCAGAGGGAGGAGAGCAAGTGGGGGGGAGGGGGCACTAAATTAGGGACTGCCACTCCTAAACCATGACAAAACCCTTGAAATCTGCAGGGAGTTGTATAAAGTTGTGTAATTTACTTTTCAGTATTTCAGGGATGCATGACCTTCTTTCTTTGGATATTAGTAAAAATAATAATAAAAATCTTCCTGTCATTTTATTTGGTAACCTTTCTTTTGTTACACAGAATAGTCAAATGTGGAATAAAGTACTTCAGCTTCAAATAAATAGATGACCGGTAATCACTACAGAACCCTTTTCCCGAAATTTTTAATGCAGTGTGCGAAGTAATCTAGGGGTCAGCTAATATTTGTGGAACACGCTATCTTGCTCTATTTTAAGCTACCTGCTCAGGTTGTAGTTATCTTACTGGCTGTTTTCTAGGGGAATATTTGCTGGACCATTGTGTTACTGCTTCTCTGTAGAACAATATAATTTTAGGAAATGTTATGCACTGAAAATAGCAGAAATGGGATTGACACTGGTGAAAATATGATGTTGACTGAGGGGGAAAACCCCTGATAATGAGTATTTCAGTCTTGGTGCTGTAGACAATAGCATGTTAAGGAGACTGGTTGATGGAGTCCCTTGGGAGGCAGTCCTGAAGGGTAAAGGGGCCCAGGAAGGTTGGACATTGTTCAAGAAGGAAATCCTAAAGGTGCAGGAACAGGCTGTCCCCATGTGCTAAAAGATGAGCCGGCAGGGAAGACCACAGGCCTGACTGAACAAAGAGCTTTGGCTGGAACTTAGGAGAAAAGAGTGAATTAGCTTTGGAAGAAAGGGCAGGCAACTTGGAGGACTACAAGGATGTTGGGAGGAAATTAGAAGGGCCAAAGCCCAGCTAGAACTTAATCTGACTGCTACCATAAAAGACAATAAAAGTTTCTATAAATATATCAGCAGCAAAAGGAGGACCAAGGAGAATATCCTTAATTGGGCATGTGGGGAAACATAGTGACAAAGGATGAGGAAAAAGCTGAGGTACTTAATGCCGCCTTTGCCTCAGTCTTTATTAACAAGACCAGTTGTTCTCAGGGTACCCAGCCCCCTGAGCTGGAAGACAGGGACAAGAAGCAGAATGAAACCCACATAATCCGAGGGCAAATGGTCAGCAACCTGCTACACCACTTAGACACACACAAGTCCATGAGGCTGGATGGGATCCACCCAAGGGTACTGAGGGAGCTGACAAAAGTGCTCACCAAGTCACTTTCAATCATTTATCAGCAGTCCTGGCTAGCCACCTACAAGAAGGGTCAGATGAACTATCTGGGGAACTCCAGACCTGTTAGCCTGACCTTGGTGCTGGGGAAGGTCACTGAGCAGATCATCTTGAGTGCCATCATGGGGCACGTACAGGACAACCAGGTGATCAGGCCCAACCAGCATGGGGCTATGAAAGACAGGTCCTGCTTGACCAATCTGATCTCCTATGACAGGGCGATCCACCTAGTGGATGAGAGAAAGCCTGTGGATGTTGTCTACTTAGACTTTATAAAGCCTTTAACACTGTCTCCCACAACATTCTCCTGGAGAAACGGGCTGCTTGTGGCTTAGATGGGTACACTGTTGGCTGGGTAGAAAACTGACTGAATGACCAGGCCTAGAGAGTGGTGGTGAATGGAGTTAAATCCCGTTGGTGGTCGGTCACTAGTGATGTTCCCCAGGGTTAAGTATAGGGGCCAGTTCTGTTCATCAGTAATCTGGTTGAGAGGATCGAGTGTACCCTCAGTAAATTTGCAGTTGACACCAAGTTGGGCTGGAGCGTTCATTGCTGGAGGGCAGGAAGGCTCTGCAGAAGGATCTGGACAGGCTGGATCAGTGGGCTGAAGACAATTGTACGAGGTTCAACAAGGCAAAGTGCTGGGTCCTGCACTTTGCCTCCAACCTGTTGCACTGCATGGGATTGTTGTGATCAGAGTTGCTGGAAAGCTGTCCGGCAGAAAAGGACCTTGGGGTGCTGGTCAACAACTGATTGGACATGAGCCAGCGTGTGTCCATGTGGCCAAGAAGGCCAACGGCATCCTGACTTGCATCAAAAATACTGTGACCAGCCGGACCAGGGCAGTGACTGTCCCCATGTACTCAGCACTGGGGTCAGTTCTGGGCCCCTCACTACAAGAAAGTAGAAGTTTTCAAAAGGCATGTGGATGTGGCACTTGGGGAAATGGTATAGTGGTGCTGGGTCAATGGTTGGACTTGATCTTGGAGGTCTTTTCCAACCTTAGTGATTCTATGATTCTAAAAATGGTTGGTAGAGTACATGCAGTATATTGTGAAACTGATTCAATGCTTTTAGCTTTATGATAACCAATAAGACAAAATGATTGTAATATATTATATATATATGATGTCAATATAATATATTGAATATAACTTCAGTGTTTGTTTTGGTAATGCGGAATACCTAGAATGCAAATTTTCTATACTTAGCCTCCTTATTTCTTTGCAAGACCTAAACCTCTGTCACCTTGACATCTGCTGGGTGGATGGCTGGCTCTACATTTCCATAGCAGAGACCAGGACTGTTTGATTACTGTCTAGTCAGACATAAGCGCAAATCTAAGGTGTTGCCTTCCCGTCCAGTCTGCATTTCCTTTTCCTTTGAGCTGTTGTTAAGCCTCTTTCTTAACCTTAACGTGTCTTCATTTAATTTAAACCTGTCAATGTGAAAATCTGAATTTCAAAATAAAACAACTGTGTTGCAGTGAAAGGATTTAGATCTGCAAGCTCAGCAAACTGGATTTTCTACAGAATAGATTAAGTTAATCGACTAGTCCCATCTGAGTTGTGATACTACATACCTTTCTCATACTTCCCACATTTGTTTTGTGGGAAGAAATGTTGTGAAGGAGATGAACAATTCTTTCTATGCATGGATGGTACCAGAGTGAAGATGTGATTGTTTGATAATGAGTGTTTCGAACTCCCAATGGGTTTTAGTGGAAACAGAAAATCTCACTATCTGCTTGGGCATAAGTGTTGACTTCTCTAGAATTAATTACAGAAAAGAAAAATATAAATTTAATAGGTGATGTCTAATGTGAACCTAGTCAACTGAGGGAGGTGTGGAGAGCAGGAAAAAAACTCCTAACAATACACAGTTGATCAGAGTTACAGTGTTAAAGGAAACAAAACCATATTTTAGTAGTTAATTGTTTAAAATTATGTTCGATAGGGGTAATGGCTGCAGGAATTATGATTGGAATCAACTGTAAACATAGTTCCCCAGTCCTGGGTTCCTGGAACAGAAATGAATAAGCAATTTTGCCTTGATATCTTAGGCAGCTGTTTGTAGATCCAAGTGTAAAAGAATGTGAAGAAATGTTAAGAGGTTTTATATGAGACAGGACAGTAATTTTGTTATTTGCTTTGTCTTCTCTCCAGATTGTGAAAAGAGAACAAAGAGGGGGAAATGGCCGGGTGTCAGACTTTATTCTTCTGTGTTCTTGTTGTTTTGTGTTGCTAGATGGGAATCCTTCCTCTACAGGTTTCCATGATTGTCATTCTGTATAAAATATGGGTAAACTTTCATCAAAATGAGGATAACGCTATCCTGCTAATTTGATGTTTCTAAGAAGTCCTTGAAAATGTAGGTAGTACGTATTTGTTTTGGGTATTTGTGGCAAGGTTTTGGTAGGGGTGGGGGCTACAGGGGTGGCTTCTCTGAGAAGCTGCCCCATGTCCAACAGAGCCAATGCCAGCTGGCTCCAAGACAGACCTGCCAGTGGCCAAGACCAAGCCAATTGGCAACAGTAGTAATGCTTCTGTGAACATATTTAAGAACAGGAAAAAAAAATTGCACAGAAGTAATTGCATCCAGAGAAGAGAGAAGAATATGTGAGAGAAACAGCTCTGCGCACACCAAGGTCAATGGTGAAGGATGGGGAGGAGGTGCTCCAGGAGCCAGAGCTGAGATTCCCCTACAGCCTATGGTGCAGCCCATGGTGGGGCAGCTGTGCCCCTGCAGCCCGTGTAGGTCCATGAGGGAGCAGAGACCCCCCTGCAACCTGTGGAGGAACCTCACACTGGAGCAGGGGGATGCCTGAAAGAGGCTGTGACCCCATGGGATGTCTGCACTGGAGTAGGCTCCTGGCTGGACCTGTGGCCCTGTGGACAGAGGAGCCCATGCTGGAGCAGGTTTGCTGGCAGGACTTGTGACCCCACGGGGGACCCAGGCTGGAGCAACCTGTTCCTGAAGGGCTGACCTCGTGGAAGGGAACCACACTGGAACAGTTTGTGAAGAAATGTAGCCTGTGGGAAGGACTTGCATTGGAAAAGTTTGTGACGGAGTCTCCCATGGGAGGGACCCTATACAGGAGAAGGGAAAGGACTCCTCTCCCTGAAGAGGAAGCAGTGACAGAAACAACATGCGATGAACTGTCTGTAACCTCCATTCCTTATCTCATTGCACCGTTGGAGGGGAGGGGATAGAGAATCAGGAATAAAGTTAAGCCTGGAAAGGAGAGGGGAGTTGGGGGGAAGGTGTTTTTAAGATTTGTTTTACTTCTCATTATCCTACTCTGATTTTGATTAGTAATAAATTCAATTAATTGCCCCAAGTCAGGTTTGTTTAGCCTGTGATGGTAATTGGTGAGTGATCTCTCCCTTGATCATTTGTGGGAGTGATAGAGCAGCTTTGCTGGGCACCTGGCATCCAACCAAGGTCAAACCACCAAAATATTTTAGAGGTCCAGAAATGTCTTTGAAAACATGGACAGCGAACTAGGGAAAGGAGAAGAATGAATGGTGAGGGGAGGAAAAGGAAAGTCATTAAAATAGGAACTTTCTAAACTGGATTTACTATGTCTTGGAGCTGCTGTTTATTTCGTTTAGATGGTCCCCTGAAAATAAGGGGTAATTTTGATCCAAATTTGAAACCTATCATGGGTAATTCTGATGTTTGGACAACCAGTGTATCAGTGACTTAGGATTATAACTTTTGTACTCTGGTAAACTTGTAGTTGTTCAGTGACTTTTTATAACCACATAATTTTGTCATTAAAATAAACATCACTTTCTTCTCAGTCAGCAGTTCTTAACCTCTTCCTGTTCTTGTGATACCAAATAATATACATAGTCTTCCTCAAAAAAACCTAACAAACAAAACCTCAGATATTGAGGTTATAAAAAAGAAAAAAAATCCACCAGAACTATGTAGAAATATGCCACATGTAAGAAATAGTTTATAACAGTTTACATAGACGTGCTTTATGCATGGTTAAGTAAAAAAAAATTTTCATGCCTTCTTAGCACTATGCAACATGCCATTCACTATATTAAGAAATTTGTTGTGAGGAAAGATTACATGCAGGCACCCCAGATACCAGGCAGCGGTGGATTTAGGAAAATTTATTTCTGAAAGCTGAGAACAGTGACATGATGGTGCAAGCACTGGGCATCCAAAACGCACACGCTGTTCTCCTTAGGGCCTTTTATCATTCACCTGGGCCTCCCACTGCAGGGGCCTTCAAGCATGTCTGCAAGAAACTTATCTCCTCTTGTACCAGGGAGTCAGCCTCTCTGAAAAGCAGAAGAAAACGCATAAGACTATCCCTGGGAAGATGCCTCTTTCTCAGGCAGCAAAGCTTCCTTGAGTGACATAAACCCTTGTCTCCTTGAGTAAATCTTCCTGTAAGATTCTTCTATACTTACACTTATAAACTGAGGTCAGTAACCAAAATTGGAGGCAACAAATATTTGTTGTTGTTAAAATAGAAATTAATATTCTTATGGGTGATAACAAGGAAGTTTGACTAATTTGAATTGGATAATTTTCATGTCAGTAGTTATGCTTTGGGAGCCCCCGGTGGTCCAGGGGAAAATACACTGCACTGTCACTGCAGAGACCCGGGTTCGATTCCCGGTCGGGGCCCCTCCCCGGGCAGATGGAGCTCGTTAGCCCTGTAAGGCAATCCATCTACGTCCTGAGGACCTCGCTGCCATCGTCCAAGCGTGCTTGGCCCCGGCAGATGAACCTCAGGATTAAAGGGTGGGCTCAGTTCCGCGCACACTG